GGAGGGGGGAGCGGGGAGGGAGGGGAAAAATGAGGACCTAATGTCGGGGGTTTAAATGGAGAGAAAATGTTTTGAGAAACGATGTACAAATGCGCATTACACAATTGATGTGTGTATGGATTGTGATAAGAGTTGTATGAGCCCCTAATAAAATGTTTAAAAATAATAATAATAAAATAAAATAAAAATAAAAAGAAAGAAAGAAAAGACAGCAGGAAATATAAAAAATGATAACAAACTTGAAATGGGTCAGAAGGGAGATCAAATGATAAGGTGTTACATTTAAGCCTAACTACATCTGCTAAAATTGACTTTAGAAGGCTCACACACCCCTTCACTATGGTTGGAGGGGATTCACTGGAGGCTCAATCCATACAGGGGCCCTGCAAATGGATTTGGGGCTCCCAGTGTCATCCATAGCCTCTGCAAACCAAGTGCTTTGAGCACTTTTTAGGCATCTTGATTATGAGAGGTCAGATGCATTAAGGTATTGCCCGTGGACAGTGCCTCCTCCGCACTTATCAACATGGTTAAGTTCCAAAGACCAGGTCACTATGCAGACATCAGCATCATGAAGACATGAAGGATGACCACATCAGATCGCAAAAATTGAGTATAACTGTCAAATTACATCATCAGACTGCCAAATCATATTGCTATATAGCCCCCTCCCCCGACAGCATTCCATAACTACCAAACCACTGAGAAGTCTGGCCCAGCTAATTGACACCTTTAAGTGTCCCGGCCAGTGTTCCCCTCGCCTCACACGGCAGCATTCAGCACTGCTTAGACATACGCCATTAGTGCACAGCTAGAGTAGTTTGCTCGTTGGGTTGTTTTTACTGTTCACTCCGTGTACGAGGTTGAGCAATGGCAGAGAGGATAAATGAGGAGCAGCTGTACTTCAGGCCCTAGCTCTGGGCAGTCTCCCTAGTGCTAGTTCTCCCTTCTCTGCACCCACGGGAGATCACTGCTTTGCTGACTCACTGAGTGCTGGGCAGAGCTGCTCGGAGGAAGGCAGCTTACCATCCGGACCCATGCAAGTGTCTCCGCGTTGCTGCCGTGTTCCTGGCATCGTTATCGCTAGCATCCCCCATGTCACATGCCCAGGGCTCAGATTTGGATGGTAAAGTAAATGCTTTTATACATGCTGTTCCAACTATCTCCAGCCCTTCATTTGCTTGTGAACATCCTTCAACCTGACTGTCTCCTCCCCCGAGCAGCTGCCCTCGATAGCTGTGTGCCACTTCCCTCCTCCTGACACGGGCCAGAGTTCCTGGTTCCTTCCTTGTCCTCTCACATCGCCTACCAGCATCTGCTGCTGTTCCACTCATTGGCCCCCGAGCCTGCCAATCTCTCAAAGGAAGGAACTCTGTCTTCAGTCCTTGACTTCCTCAAGGTGTAGTTCAATATCCAGCGTGTAATATAGGTGCTCAATACATTTTTTCAAAATAAGCTCCATGGACCTATTCCCATAGCTTGAGGCCCAAGGTTTGTAGGTACATGGTTGAGATCAGGCCTCTCACCACATGCACGCACACTTAAATCCCAAAACCAATTATATGCAAGTGGAAAACCATATAAATGTTAAGTACAGAAACAAATTAAACACAAACGGAAAACCACATATTTATTGTCTTTGACCTCCTAGGTCCCCAGACCTCTCGCGATGCGGAAAGAAGGAATCCAGACCAGAAAACGGAAGCCCAAGAACCTTAACAAAACTAAGACGGCAGCAGGTGAGCAGGAGCTCGGCTGTGATGAGACGAAGGAGCTCTGTGTGAGAGCTCCTGCACTGTGTCCTCAACTAGAGGGGCGACTTCAGGTGGCCGCAGGACAGAAGAATTCTGTCCGCCCCAGCCTTTTCAGAATAACAAAGTGAAAACGTAAAATAGAGTAACAAAAAGTGAAAAAGTAATGGCACCGGGAGACGTGCTGGAAATTTTAAAATTCGGCTCAATTCCCAATTGCGAAAACAGCCACGTGGCATGCTCTGTTCTGCAGTGTCGCAGGCCACGTGCCCTGAGAGCCCAGTCCTTTCCATTCTCTGTAAGTTCACTGGGATCCAGGAGGACAGGGTCACATTAATTACATTCACAACAAATATTTAATCAAAGTATAATTAATAGTAAGCATTTGTACTCTGGGAGTTCCTGGATAGTACTTCGGGTTAAGTGCTAGACTACTAACGGGAAGGTTGGCAGTTTGATGCCACACACAGACGCTTTGGAAGGCGGCCTGAGGGTCTGCTTCCCAAAGCCACAGCCTTTAAAGCCAAGTGAGCAGCCCTACTCTGTACACAGGGTGTTGCCAGGAGTCAGAACTGGCTTGACAGCAACCGCCCCTTCACTTGCCAAGGCCTCTTTCCACCATTGTCTCAGTGGCTCTCACAAGAGCACCGCAAGGACCAATTCATTATGCCCCTTTTACTGAGCAAACCGAGGCTGAATGAGGGCAAATGACTTACCCCGAGTCACATGCACCTCATCGGTAGGTCTGGAATTTAAACCCCAGCATTTAACCATCAGGACCCATCCTCTGTTCAGAACGCCACTCACTCTCATGATTGAGAATGACGACCACTCATGTCTCCCATCAAGAATGTTAGCTCCTTGACCCTGCTGCCAAATGAGCAATCTGACTGGCAAACCCTGCAGTCCCAGAGAAATATGCTAGCTCATCTGAAGGGAAGGTTATCTTCCAACTTAACCAACCAACCAAACAAACCCAAACCCACCAAACTCACTGCCATTGAGCTGATACCAAGTCACCGCGACCCGACAGGGCAGTAGCACTGCTCCTGTGAGTTTCTGGGAGTGGAGACTCATCCCTCTCCCAAGGAATGGCTGGTAGTTTGAACTGCAGACCTTGTGGTTAGCAACCCAACTCGTATCCACTACGCCACCACGGTAAAGTCAGAGAAAATGCCCTTTCCATGTGGAGAACATGACCAAAGTCTTCCTTGCCTAGGCTTCATAATGACCGGTGCCCTCTGGCAGTCGTGTTTCTGGTCTTCGAGGTCTCCTGCTGCTTCCAGCATGTTTGGTGGGGGTGTGTGTGTCCCATTTCCATAGAGGCTAGAAACACAGGGGTGCAGGCTCCTCATTGTTCAGGTGCACCGTCCCTGCTCCAAACCCAGAATGTTTGGTCCAGCAACAAAGCTTAATCAGAACTGCTGCCGAGGCTGTTGATGGCCCTTAGCTCCCCCATTCAGCACCGACTAGTCCCTGTGTTGCTGGAGAAATGCCCATGTCCTCATATCCCATGGAGAGTATTGCGATATTATGTAATATGCAGCATTTGACCTTTTAAAGGCCTCAAAGTTTTGAAGCCTGAAACATATTGTAGCCCCGAGGCTTGAGGTGAGGTTTGGTAAACTTGCCACTTGAGAAAAACAAAAAGAACCACCTTGAAACTCAAGGACCCCTGTCCCATTTGGAGAGTTGTCGGCTTACACTGATGCGGGACCCCTACTTCTCTCCTCAGCAAGTGTAAATAAAGCCCGTGGCCCGGACCTCTCCAGGCTGTCTCTAGGGACTGCCATCTGCTTGTCCCTGTCTGTGTGCCCTGACTCTGCCTTGTTCCAGGTCCTTCTGCCAGTGAGGGCCTTCCTTCCACCAGCAGTACCTCCAGCAACTCCAACAATGCAACCACCAGCAGCAGCGAGGAGATGCGCCCCATCAAGACGGAGCCTGGGCTGTCCTCTCACTATGGGCACACCAGCCCCATGTCCCAGGTGTGTATGCCCAGTCGGTGGTGGGGGTGGGGGCGGGGGCACGGGCCGGCCGTAGACTCAGTACAGGTAGCCTTGCACCATGCAGCCCTGCCCGGCCTCCAGCAGGTGGCAGGCTCCACGCGGGGCTGCAAATCCCCATAGAAGAGCCAAGCCTTGCTCTTAGTGCTTCCTGGACCCATGCCCACGGGCTGTCGACACAAGGGCATTTGATCAAGCTGCAAGGATTTGCGATGCACACGTCCTCACACACATCCCTAACAGCTTCTCCATGACAAGCCCTTTGGAGACATGGGAGGAGGGTGTTCAGGTGCCATACAGCACGAGGGGCATAATGACATCCCGATCAGACGTGCCTGTTGGAGTTAGTGGGAAAATGGAATGAAGAGATTATGGCTTTTGTGCACAAACTGCTTGAAGCCCCTGTGTGGATTTTAAAAGAGCCCAGTGTTTAATTCACATATTCTTTATTAGTTAAACTAGTATCATTTGGTTTCGAGAAGAGTTTAGGGGATATATTTAGTTTGAGGCGTAAAGATTATCTTAGTCTAAGGGTTTACTCAACCTTTATGACTCCAGAAGGTATGGATTCCGTGAAAATTTGGGATTCTGTTCTGCATTTCCTCCCTTTTGATCAAGATACAGGGTCTTCGATCAGTCTGTTCTTAATGGTAGCCGGTGACTTGCGCAGTGAGGGTGGAGGGTGGGCCCAAGTGCATGCAGCTGCAGAGGGCTGGGTCAGCAGCAGCCTTGGGTCCCTCTTGCTCCCATACCCTTTCTTCCCACTCTGTTTCCCATGTTTGGGGTCAGCATGTTCCCAAGCTTTCTGAAGTCCAATGGCCTAATGAGATTCCCCTGCTGTCAGGATAAATAGGTAGCTGGTCCCATAGAATCAAAAGAGCCAGGAACCCCTCTGGGCAGAGAACAAGACCTCTCTAGTTCACTGTGCAGGACTGATGGTGATAAGATTGTGAAAAATGTCCTCAGTACCCATCAGACTTGCTGGAGAAACAGGAAGGGTGGCTCAGCCCTCCTGGATCAGAGCTGGTGTATTTGGGCATCAGAAGTAGCTGGGGAGTCACCCGGAAGCTTTTCTTCCAAGATCTCAGGGTGGCGAAAAAATGAACCACCCCTCAGTCTTTGCTTTGCCCTTGTTCTTTGACAAAGAGATCTCTCCTCCTTCCGTGGGGGGGCGGGGGGGGTGATTTGTCTATTGCAACAGAGTTCCCTTCTCTAGCCTTAAGAGTTATTCCACTCAATTCATCTCTCGCTTTTTGCTTCTAGACGTTCTCGGTCAGTGCAATGTCTGGCAACGGGCCCTCCATCCACCCGGTCCTCTCGGCTCTGAAGATCTCCCCACAAGGCTACGCCTCTTCTGTTAGCCAGTCGCCACAGGCCAGCTCCAAGCAGGACTCCTGGAACAGCCTGGTCTTGGCTGACAGTCACGGGGACATCATCACTGCCTAATCCCACCTCCTTCCCTCCTCAAATTCCTGCACAGTCTTGGGACTTGGAGGTCAGCAGAGAGGGAGGCTCCGGCTGTCCATGGCCGGCCGCCCCTCTGGCTGGGAATGACTCCAGAAGAACAGTTGGGAAGAAACTTGAAGTCTGTGATTTGGTGAGGGGCAGCGTTCCCTTTGTCAGATGCCTCCATGAGGAGGGGACCTGGGAAGAGCCCAGACTGACACAGAAGAGCCACTGTCCTTCACCAAGAGCACAGGAAGTCGCCTCTGCGTAGTTAGAGACTTTTCTTTCCCTCCTCCCTTCTGCTCCGCCCCCACTGTGGCCTCAGAGCTCTGCTGTAGGAGACTGGAACCGCCCCACGGGGTCTCCCAGGCTAGTATCTCCAGAAGTGGGTCACCAGGTCTTTTCTTCCTCAGTGCCACAAGTGGATGCCAACTCCTATTCTTCCAACTCTCGGCTGAGTGCCGCCAGGGATCCTGGTGGTCTAAGACAGTGGCTTTACAATCCTGCTCTGGATTCCAGGGAGCTGAGTGGCAGCAAAGGGGGCAGGGCCCTGGGAACCCCGCTCTGGCCCAAACTGGAGCATCTGTTCTCTGTGTGTCTTGGATGCTACAGAGCACCGTGGGGGCAGCCCCTGCCCTTGCCCACACTCCCCTTGAGGCTTAGCATGTCCTCGCATCCCCAGGACCAGATCCGACTCCAGACATACTGGGAGTGAGGTCGATGTTACTGAATGTTTCAGGGAGGGAGATGGGGACTTCACCCCCACCACACGGTATAGCTTCATCGAAATTGCACCCTAGTGACCAGGCCTCCCCAGAAGCCCTTCCCCTGCTCACAGCCTCCTCCTCTTGCTCCTTCATTCCACTTCCAAGGCCTCTTAAAATGCAAACCCTTCCTACTGCCCTGAGTGATTGAGCTCTGCTTCCAGTGGGTGCCCGTCTCTCCTGCCCGTTCCGTAGTTAGCCTAACAGCCGCCACCCAACAGCCTCCATTTGCCCCGTCCCACACAGAGGAGTTCCAGGGAAGAACAACATGTTCTGCTGCTAGCACCCATTTGACAGACACTCATGTTCCGTGGACACGGTCCCCTGGCTGGGCCAGGGCTCTCAGTGGACCTGCCACTTGCCCTCTGCAGATGGATGTACTTCACGGTCAGACAGAAAGCACAGAGTACCTGGACCCTGCCTCTATGTCCCAGTGGAAGGGAGCCTTTTGTCCAGAAGGAGAAGCACCTGAGAGATTTCACAATGTAAATTAAAACAAGCAAACCAGAACTCGCAAAGGAAGGAGATGACCCTGCCGGTCGGGCCTTGACGGAGCCTCCAGCTCTGCGCTGTCCCGGAGCTCGGCCTGTTTCTCTCCTCGAGGCTCCGAGTGCGCCATCGGTTCCCGGGATGCATGAAGACTCCCTCCTTGTCCTTGTCATCAACAGAGCTCGCTGACTGTGGCCTTGCCAAGCCCTACCCCGAAGCCCCTTGCCCCCCACCCAAAAACCCTACTGGCTGTAGCAGAGAAGATCTTTAAGACGTGAATCTGTTGTAATCATCATTTACATTCTTTTCTTCCATGAAGGCCACCCTAATATATCTACCCTGACCCACAAACCTGTTAACCTGGTCTTAAGGTGGAATGGCTGTAAAATCAGTATTTAACTAATAAATTTATCTGTACTCCTTCCCGGTCAGAGGTCTTCACTGGGAGATTTGCAGCTGCTGTCGGCAAGCAGGTCCTGAGCCACAGCGCTCCTTGCTGGTCTGCTGCTTACAAAGACCTTTGAACATGGTTTCCTCTGTCCATTGTTGGAAGTTGGCCAAGGCTTCCTGTGTGTGTGATGCTGACTGGAAACCAACAGGTGACCTCTAGGCCTCTTCCAGAGGGGGCAGGGCCAGTTGTTAACTAAAGCTCCTTGTGGCCCAACAGATGTCTCTCAAAGAAAGGAGAGCTCGTTTTAGATCTTTTGAACCCAACCTGGTAAAAGGTATGTGTTAGATGGCCATGCTACGGAGCGCTTGCTGTTTTCTGTTTTTCTTCCTGGTTTGATCCAAACAAGCCCCTGAAGGGGCAAATCATGCCCCACACCCAGGGGAGAGGGGCTCAAAGTCTTCCTTCCTTTAGTGATCTTGTTCCCATTTTCCTAGGCTATGGAGTTGCTTAATTGCTTCAGCTAAAAGGTGTGAGTGGGTGGGGAGTCCCGAGGCAGAACCTGGACAGTGGAACCCAGACAGCTCAAGTGCCTTCATTCAGAACTGGTCGTGGTGGTTTTCTGCCCCTCTCCTGGATTATGCCAAGCCCACTTGGCCACTAAGGGTCATTTAACCTTGTACACCTCCCTTATTATTTTTGAACAGGTAAGGGGGCGGGGAGAACCCAACTATTCACACCCATGTTTGGAGGCAACATCAGGAAAACTTTCAACTTTGCTAAAGATGAGCCAAGCCTATTAAACATAACTAGCACTTCTGAGAGGATTAGGCAGTTGATAATGCTAATGACTAAGAGTAATAAAAAAGCACAGGAAACCCCACCAGGACTTGTGTTTCCCTTAGGAAGTATGCACAGGTTTTCTGATAAGGAAGTCTTTAAAATAGTCTTGCCACTTTCATGATTACTTTCAGAATGCAGTTCTATACAAGATGAGCATCTTCCTTACTCAATGACTGATCCATTATACAGTCATAACTACCTCATACACTGTCACCCAATTTGATTCAGCCTCCTTTCTCCCTAGGCAGGGTTCCTTCCCAAAGTTAAATCTATCTGCAGAGGAGTTGCTACTAATCCAAACCCAAACCAAACCCATTGCCATCAAGGCGATGCAGACGCGTAGCGACCACCTAGGACAGGGTAGCAGTGCCCCTATGAGTTTCTGAGACTGCAACTCTTAACAGGACTAGAAAGCCCTGTCTTTCACCAGTGGAGCTGCTGGTGGTTGTGAACTGGAGACCTTGTGCTTAGCTGTAACCACTATGCCACCAGAGTTGCTTGCTACTAATCAGGGTGTTATAAAAGATGCAATTCCCAGCCAGCTGTTCCAAGATGGTTAGGAGTTGGCTGAGGTGTGTGTGTGGGTGGGTGGGGGGGTAGGGTGAGCAATAAGGGCGCCATTAGAATAAATGTTCCAATATGGCCAGAGGAGGGGCCAGTATGCGAGTGTCTGCATAAGAAATCCTACCTTTCAGCCACCCTCTGGCTGTGACGTCACCCTTAGAAGCACAAGCCAATTAAACACAGAAGAACATTAACCCTTAGTGTTTGACCGCTGCATGTTTTTGGAGGCAGGTGGGGAGTAGCAGATTCTGCTGTAATTATGTTCTGCTTGGGTCAACAGTAATGGAGAGAAGTTTATAGTCCCTGAACATCAGCTACCAAATGGAACAAAAGAGCAAACTCACTGCCTTCGAGGATATTCCGAGTTAGAGTGAGCCTACAGGACAGGGTAGAACTGCCCCTGTGGGGTCCTGACATGAACTCTGCAGTAGTAGAAAGCCCCATCTTTCTCCTGAAAAACTGCTGTTGGTTTTTGTGTTCATCCGGATTGACTGGAGAAACAAATCCAGGGAGACTCGTGTGTGTCCGAGAGAACATTATATCAAAGAGCAATTATACATTAAGAAAACATCCTAGCCCAGATCAAGTCCATAAGTCCGATATCACCCTATCTGTTGATACTAGACTATAAATTCCTCTTTAGACTCACGCAGCCATGCAGTGATGCTGAATGCAGGAAGATCACAGGCCAGTGGGTGGAAAGTCTTGTGGATCCAATGGTGGTGGAAGCATCTCGACACAGGCATGGGTCTCCATGTGGCTCCTCCAGCTCCAGGGCTCTGCTTCCATATGTGTAACTCTAACAGGAAGATGAAGCAGAGAGTGTGGGCCTGGCCTCCAGTGAGCTATTTATCTCCTTAGCGCCTCTAAGTGAGGTCATCAAGCTGTGACCTGATTGTCGGGTTAAACTCCACCCCTTCATTCTTAATAGTCTCAAGTTGACACCTGATTATGTAACTACCACAGTTTTGAACTAGTGACCTGGCAGTTATCAGCCCAACGTGGAACCACCAGAGCTCTCAAAGAGACTAACCAAAATAAATAAAAACCTCACTGCTGTTGAATTAGTTCTGACTCATGGGGACCCTATAGGACAGGGTAGAATGCCTGTGGGTTTCCCAGACTGTAACTGTTTACAGAAGTATCAAGCCTTGTCTTTCTCCCATGGACTGCCTGGTGGTTTCAAACTGCCAACCTTTCAGATTGCAGCCCAGAGCTTAACCACTAAGACACCAAACTCACTCTAATAGAACTAATGTGGGGGTTATTTGGACAACCCCCACCCCCACCCCAGAGTTCCCAGAAATTGTTGGTTTGAATACTGAGTGCAGAAAGGCACCACCACAGTGGTGGTTTTATCATTTCAAAGCCTTGAAAGCTATTCTACCACATTGTATACAAGCCTTGCTTGAAGCTCAAACACGCACATCCAGACCTTCGGACCAGCCTCTCAAAGCTTGCAGGTGTGAAGCATAGAGGGAAAGTGGCCTAGACGCTCAGCTCTCCATCTGTGGCCCACCATCCCCACCCCCACCCCAGCACTTGCTCTGGCTTCCAGTTCAGAGACCTCTCCACACCTGCCCTCCGGAGTCATGCTGCCCAATGAAGCACTGGCCTCTAGGATTAACGTTTTAAAAAAAAAAAAAGGTTTTTGTATCCCCTATGGGTAGCTGAGGCAGTGGTTAAAAAAAAAGACTATTAAAATAACACACAAAAAAATGATGATAACATTAAAACCAGCTTAGTTGTTTTAAGTCTCCCCCCCCCCCCCCCCTTCCCCCCCCCCCTCCTCTTTTTTCTTTCCTGGCCTTGGCTTTGCCAGCTCACGCTGACAGAAACTTAGGTTGCTTCTTCGCAGAGGTGACTGCACAGATGTGCTCTGGGTTAAAAAGAGCCCAAACCAACAACCAAACTCACTGCCATCAAGTCAGTTCCAACTCACAGTGACCCCAGAACTGAGGAACACTCTGGGCTTCTGAGACTGTCACCTCTTTGTGGGAGTAGAAAGCCTCATCTTTCTCCTGTGCAGCAGCTGGTAGTTTCCAACTGTGGAGCTTGCAGCCCACTGAGGAGATCACTGTGCTACCAGGGCTCCCTAAAAAGAACAGAGGAATGATTTAAAATACACCCACCATGTAGCAGTGCGATTGGATCCAGGCTGCAGACATGGGGGCAGGTCCTCCTTGGGGTGGCCAGGGCACAAAGAGGGGCATTTCTCTCCTTCCATGTCACGAGGGATAAAAGAGATACACACAGCTCCACCTCTCCCCACCCTGGGCTCCATTCTGCTTGGGCTCCATCTGTAGGGGCGGGGCATGCCTACTGAGAAACAAGTGAATAGGCCTTAATGGTGGCACTCCTGAGGTTCTCATCATGTTTGAAGCCTCCCAGGCAGGTTCCTAACTCGTGAACCGGACAGCACGAGTTCATTCGGAAGCAGCTGAATACTAGTAGACTACTACAGAGTTACTGTGTGCCTCTGAGCTAGCTGTTCTTTTTTTAATCATTTTATTGGGCCTCATACAACTCTTATCACAATCCATACATACATTTATTGTGTCAAGCACATTTGTACATTTGTTGCCATCATCATTTTCAAAACATTTTCTTTCTACTGAGTCCTTGGTATCGGCTCCTCATTTTTTCCCCTCCCTCTCCTATCCTCCCTCCCTCATGAACCCTTGATAATTTATAAATTATTATTTTTCATGTCTTACACTGACCAATGTCTCCCTTCACCCACTTTTCTGTTGTCCATCCCCCAGGGAGGGGGTTATATGTAGATCATTGTGATTATTTTCCCCTTTCTCCCTTCCCCTTCTTCCCCTCCTGGTATCGCTACTCTCATTATTAGTCCTGAAGTGTTATCTCTCCTGGATTCCCTGTGTTTCCAGCTCTTCTCTGTACCCATGTATATGCTCTGGTCTATTCGGATTTGTAAGGTAGAATTGAGATCATGATAGTGGGGCGGGGGGAAGCATTAAAGAACTAGAGGAAAGTTGTATGTTTCATTTTTGCTATACTGCACCCTGACTGGCTCGTCTCCCCACCCCGACCCCCCCGCAAAGGGATGTCCAGTTGCCTACAGATGGGCTTTGGGTCTCCACTCCACACTCCCCCTCGTTCACAATATGATTTTTGTTCTTTGATGCCTGATACCTGATCTTATCGACACCTCATGATCACACAGGCTGGTGTGCTTCTTCCATGTGGGCTTTGTTGCTTCTCAGCTAGATGGTCGCTTTTTATCTCAAGCTTTAAGACCCCAGACACTGTATCTTTTGATAGCCAGGCACCATCAGCTTTCTTCACCACATTTGCTTATGCACCCATTTGTCTTCAGCTATGGTGTCTGAAAGGTGATCATAATGGAATGCCAGGTTAACAAAACAAAGTGTTATTGTGTTGAGGGAGTACTTGAGTAGAGGCCCAATGTCCATCTGCTATCTTAATACTAAACCTGTAAATATATGTACATAGATCTACTTCCCCATCGTCATATATATTTACATATGTACATGCCTGTATTTAGACCTCTATAAATGCTCTTTGCCTCCTAGTTCTTTCCTCTATTTCCTTTTACTTTCCTCTTGTCCCACTATCATGTTCAGTCTTCATTTGGGTTCCAG